GAGCTCAGCCCCTTTGCTTCCTTCGATCGTCCGTGAAGGTGGGTGAGTGGGAGGTTCCCGCTCCATGAGGGGAAACAGAGGCACAGAGCAGCGTAGCGACCTGCCGTTACCTCCGCTTTCCAGGGCAAGCCCCTGGCAGAGTAAGGCATAGAGACCCGTCCAGACCTAGAGCAGAGGTTCTCAAACTTTGGTGGTGTTGACGGGCCCCTTTCCAAATGTAATGTTAATCAGGGACTCCCAGGTGGGAGACTGATTGACAAAGGTCTCTGTGTGCTTCATAAAAACACCTACTGTTAGTAATGCGTTAAGAAACCAGGATCCGAGCCCTTACCGATTCAGTGAAATTGGTATACTTGCTTCTTACTGCAGAGGCTACCTAGTCTTGACCCGATTTTGCGAATCCATGTGCAGTTCCTGAGAATCCCCTGTGGTCCCTGGACCCTGTTATGAGAACCGCTGGCCTATAACGCAACTGTTACTTAGCATGTATAGTGAATGACCAGGGCACATTGACACCAAGCCATGTAAATAGTTATACAGGGAGTTTGTTCTGGAACCTGCCTACTCTGTTCTTGCATTTAATGTATGTTAAAGCTTCGATGCCTAAATCCCCCCTTCCATGTTGTGGAAGCCTCCAATTTAATTATTTCCTGCCTAGCTAATTTTTCTGTCCCTGTAGCATTCTCAAACCTACTCCATCCTGACACTCCTTGGGAAAATGTCTCTTTCACCAAACTCAGCTTCATGTTCTTCTGTCAGTTGTACGCTCTGTGCTTACTAGGTCTAGGAGCCTTACCTCCAAGGTCTTTAAAAGTACTCTGCTGGAAAGACACTTTGCCTTCCCCCACTGCCTTGTGAAAAAAATTAAGTCTGGCTTTTGGGCTTGAGAACTCCCATACAGAGCTGGCATTAGTTGGTATTTTTCTATTTTCCCCAAACTTGCATAATTCTAAATATTTAGATTTTTAGGTCTGTAACCTACCTTGATATAACTCTGTTTTCATACTTTCTATGTGATGGCAATCTTGAACTTCCTCTTTCAATGAAATAAACAAGGCTAACAGACTTGAGCAGAATGTTACACATTTGCGACAGGTTGGATCACACAGGTCCCCTTGGAGCTGTCACCTAGTGTACTGATCATACCACTGAGCCCGCTTTCCCACCCTCTGGGGCACTCCACCTTCCAGTTCTGCTGGTCTAGAAGCTAAGGCACAGAGTTGGGGAAACAGCAAAGGCACAGAGTTGGGGAAACGGCTCTCCTAACCCCCTCACAGCAACATGGATACTGAAGCAGTTTTGCTCTGGGAAGTCTCAGCTACAGGGATTTGTCAGCACTGAGAAGCAATTTTACTCTGTCTAAAAGTTAAGCAGAGAGAGCTCATAAAATGTGCTCTCTATCAGTGAACGAAAGAGATGCACAGTGGTTGCTCCACCCCAGGTAACTGTTATTTACACTGGGTTTGAGAATAAACAAGTGTTTTTATTAAGTATATAAAGTAAGATTTAAGTAATTGGAAGTGAAAACAGACATCAATATAAGTTACTAAGCAAAACAAACAAAATATGCCAGCTAGGCCTAATATTGTACAGCCAAGTCTACACTGGCAGTTTACAGTGCTGTAACTTTTTGGCTCAGGGGTCTGACACCCCTTCTCCCCCCAAAGTGCAGCAAGTTACAGCACTGTAAAGCATCAGTGTGAACCACGTTACAGTGATGGGAGCCGCACTG